AATAACTTAGTTAACATAATCAAAACTAAACTATCGACAACATACCATCGTAAAAGGCCATGTATACATCTTGCATCGAAACTAAGCCCTTCTCCACTGCCTCGTTTTGGTCCTGTTTTGCCACTGGAATTAACAATTGGAAAATTAAGAAACAAAAATAAATATAACAATAAATTAAATATCGCATACAAACAATAAGTCTTCAGGGTCGACTTCCAATTGCTTGTGGTTCCGCCCATTTTGGTTACTTCTCTCAAATCATCCCTTTCAATAACATGTCTAATAACATCTAAAATGAAATAATTGTTATACATAAGATTTGAAATCTTTGGTATAAATTAATGAAACACAAAATTTAACAAAATGAAATTACCTATAAGCTATGATGGAAAAATATGTAAATTAATTACCACACAGTCAATAGGATGAAGAAGAAAATAAGAAAAAAAATCTAAAGTCGGGTTACCAAAAGAAGAAGCCTTAGGTAGGGAAGAAATAAAATTCAAATGTTGCAGACATTCTGTAAAACGATGTCACAAAATCCGCTAGGGATGAAAATCAGATTTATTTACCCTTTTCTGTAAAAATCGAAAATCAGATTTATTATTAATAATATCAAGGAGATAAAAATTTGATAAAAATCGATAATAATATTTAGGAGAATTTTTTTTGATTATAAAATCAAAAAATAATATTTAGTAGATAAAAATTTGATAAAAATCGAAAATAATATTTAAAATAATGTTAATGAGATAAAAGTTGATAAAATACGAAAATAATAATTAGAATAATATTTAGGAGATAAAATATGATTAAAATAAAAAATATTATTTAAAATAATATTTAGGAGATAGAAATTTGATAAAAATCGAAAATAATATTTAGGAGACAAAAATCTGATAAAAAACAAAAATAATATTTAGGAGATAAAAAACTAATAGAAACATGATAAAACTCGAAAAAAATATTTAAAATATTATTTAGGAGATATAAATTTGATAAAATTCAAAAATAATATTTAAGAGATAAAAATGTGCTAAAAGTTGAAAATTATATTTAAAATTATATTTAGGAGATATAAATTTGATAAAATTAAAAAATATTATTTATAATAATATTTAGGAGATAAAAAGTTTGATAAAAATAAAAAATAATATTTAGGAGACAAAAATCTGATAAAAATCAAAAATAATATTTAGGGGAAACAAACATGGTAAAATTCGAAAATAATATTTAAATAATGTTAATGAGATAAAAGTTGATAAAATATGAAAATAATAATTAGAATAATATTTAGGAGATAAAATATGATTAAAATCAAAAATATTATTTAAAATAATATTTAGGAGATAGAAATTTGATAAAAATCAAAAATAATATTTAGGAGATAAAAATCTGATAAAAAACGAAAATAATATTTAGGAGATAAAAAACTAATAGAAACATGATAAAACTCGAAAAAAATATTTAAAATATTATTTAGGAGATATAAATTTGATAAAATTCAAAAATAATATTTAAGAGATAAAAATGTGCTAAAAGTTGAAAATTATATTTAAAATTATATTTAGGAGATATAAATTTGATAAAATTAAAAAATATTATTTATAATAATATTTAGGAGATAAAAAGTTTGATAAAAATAAAAAATAATATTTAGGAGACAAAAATTTGATAAAAATCAAAAATAATATTTAGGGGAAACAAACATGATAAAATTCGAAAATAATATTTAAATAATATTAAGGAGAAAAAATTGATAAAAATTGAAAAAAAATTACACATATAACATTAGCGTTTCTTAGGGTTGCCCTAGCGTTTCTTTCTTTTATATATAAGATTACTTTTAAGCTCAACATGAAAGACATAGTTGATGATTTTTTTCCTGGTTCAAATTTTCAATCTACTGATATTAGCTGATTCAATTCATTTGGAAAATTATTCAACAGTAAAGTTATTTGCTTTTTTTCTTTTTGTGTGTGTAGTATACTTAATAATATTCCACTGATGAATTATTAATGAATGACTGTAATATAATTTTGACCATTCGATACATCAAACGTTTGTTTATATTCTCACAACATCAAAACAATGTAATTTGTTGTCTCGTGCATCGCACGGGTACAATTACTAGTATATGTATATATAAAAGAATGCTAGGACTACCAAATTTTTATGGCATATATGTAGGTTTTTTTTTTTAAATAACAAATCAGATTTGCAAATCCGCCAGCAAAATTATAATTTGTTTGGATAGTGTGTTATTTAACTCTTTCTCTCTCTTACACACACCGATATGGATTTATTTTTCTTGGGCAACCCTGAGCAACCATAATGCATTTTTGTAATTATTTTTTCAAAATTAATTTTTCCTCAACTAGTTTTTTCATTATAAAAATGTTCAAAATTCTTTCTTTTTATTATTTTTATCTAAATTATTGTACTATTGATTGCTTCATTTTAGTTTACGACAATTAAGTTTATATAATCTTATTACAATTAATTGCTTCAATTTCATTTTATAACAAATAAGTTTATATAATCTTTAGCGGAACGGGTTTGTATATATTAGATTTGTATGAATGTTGATAATACTAATAAATTTTAGGGGCATGCTAAATCTCACACTGAAATCTAGTAAATTCCACACATAAATTAAAAAAAAAAAGTCACTCTCTACTTGTATTCTCTCTAACTTTTTTCTATGATGATTTTTTCCAAGTCACTCAAAATTCGTTAATCTTTCACGTGAATAATCATAAAAAGTGAGTTTAAGTTTATGTAATATTTTTCAATTTCATTATGCCTTTTTAATTATTTAAATTCATATCAATTCGAATTTTTTTCTCAAATTCCAACTTTATTTTAGTTTGAGCACATGAAGTTTTTCTCAAATTCAAACTTGGAATGATATGAACGTTTTTAGTGTGTGTTATTTTATGAAAATTTTAGGAAAAAAGAAGAAGGGTGGGGAAGGAGAAGATGAGATTTTAGAGAGAGAAAAATTTTCAATTGTGTGTATGATTTGATAAAATTGGTGTGGGATTTAGCATATCAGTAAATTTTATTATATGAAATGTAATATATATTTTTTGTATAATTGTTATTGTTATGTATTTGAATATAATTTTTTTTTCACTTTTGCAATGTTACCCCGTGCATTGCATAGGAGAGAAATACTAGTTAAATAAACAGAAAAAACCCAACCAACCATGCGCATAGACTCACCCCTCATTTTCAAGCTCTCCCTACCAATTCCTTCTTTAATTATTTTGGGGTATCATGAAAGTTTAAATAAATAAGATGTCGATATTGAAGCACTTTCGTAATCAAAGCAATATACGACAACTTGTTTAGCATGATAAATCATGTCATTGGACACATCGAATCAGTTTGAACCCACAATTACGCGTATTTGATCAATATTGGTAGGCAAAGACTAATTATTGTCTAACAAGTATCATCGGTGCTCTATTACCCAACAACATAAATTCAAATATTTTCCCATTAGCAACGGTCGCTATGTGGAGTTTGCACACATGGTTAGCTTTACGTGTCTCGTATGGTTTGCAAGCTATAATAGGAGAGTGTAGGTTTATTCAGTGCACCTATATGCTTGACTGCAGATTTCTTCATAATAAATAAATAAAAATTGTCATTCAAGTTACCAAGAGAGAGAGAGAGAGAGAGAGAGAGTTATAATTACATTCATCAATGGGGTTTGTTAGAATTAGCTTATCTTGTTCTAAAATATAGATAAAAAAAAAAAAAAAAAAAAAAAAAAAAAAAAAAAAAAAAAAGAAGATGAGAAAGATGAGAAATCGCTATCTTGAAGTAAAATCAACGGCATTAAAACTTTGCCCAACATATTAATTCATAAGGGATTAATTAATGTATCGATTAATCTTTTCAGATCTATATAAGCTCAGTCTTTATCACTAAACATTGGCTGAGAGCTACACATCTACGTTAAGTCTTTATTACAACTTTATCCTCTAAATCAAATACCTACCGTCTGTTGCATGTCTTTTCATATTACCCAATCTAATTCGCTTTTTGTAATATAGCCCCGTTTGGTTGTCAAGATAAGATTAGCCAAGATAAGATTAAATAATCTAATGAAACTCAATTATTTTATTGGAGCTTGCAACGTCCAACAAAAAATATTCTCTAGAAGGCAAGATAAGACATGATTATATAATTTTGGCGCGCGGGTCGACCCGGCAATTTATTGGGATATCAAACATCAAATTAAGTCTAAACTATTTAGTTAATCATGGCTTATCTTGGCAACCAAACAGGACTTAAATTGACTTCTTTGTGAGTGCGACTATGAACCAATAAAATTGTTGTGGTAAATAACCACCCCTCAACTATGAATCTTCTTACGCATCCACCCTACGGTGTCAAATTCAACAAAATATTTCTACATTATGTGGAATGTTCTTTAGTTTGTACTCGTTTTGTGCAAAAATACAATTTTTGATGCACCACAATCTGTTATTTACAAGCCAAGAGACGCACATCTTATGTGGAACTCAAATGGTGTAAAACGGGTACAAACTGAAAAATTTCTCTAGATTTGACACCAGGGTCGATGTGTAAGAAGATTCATAGTTGAGGGGTAGAGTTGTGATTACCCAAACATGAAGGGTTTTTTTGTAATTTAACCTTACTTCAGAGGGGTGGCCGTAATTTAACCAAATAATAATAATAAATAAATAATATGGTAGAAAGAACATTCCCTGAGCAGGTTAAAAATGAAAATAAATGAGAAAGAGGTTAGATAGAAAGTTAGAGATAGGCCATGTTATGGTGATGAGAGCTGCTTCTATCATGATATAACAACAGCACACTCCATGCCAGAAAATAAATGGTGGTCCTTTCTTCAACTATATTCATATACACATTCACAAATTTTCTTCTCATTCATATTAAATATTCAATATATTCAATATTAAATATTAAAATAAAATAAATAATAGTATGGTTAAATTTGCTATAAAGCCAGATGTATCTGCAGCTAGAAGTCCCATTTCTCAGAAATCATATAAAAATTAATCCATGAAAGTTACTTCACAAACATAGGAAACAGACAGAAACTGTAACAAGACAGTTTCTCCGGTTGTTTTATTATTAAGCCTTACAAAATATCATATTTGTTTTCTTTTTGTTGTGGTAATTTTTCTTTTACCTCTTGTTGACTTTTGTTCATTTAATTAATTAATATATAAAAATAAAAATTAACTATTTTTTACCACCTTCATAACAATGGGCTACAGTAAGAAATTGGTTAAGCAACCAATCCAATAAAATTAAAGCGAAAAAAAAAAAACAGCTTTCGAAGCAGCTATTTTCTTTCACGATCCACGAGATTTGGATAATGTATTCGGACTCTGCGCCTTCATGATGTTGAGCATAGATTTGAACTCGCTGTGAAAAGACGTTATTGACCTTTGTCGACATGCAAACGCGACGCTAAACTGCTTGATCTCTTCTTCGAGCTTTTTCCTCCTCTTCACTTCGATATTGAGATCCTTTAAAGCGTTCTCCTTTTGTCCGGTGATTTGTGCTATTTTCTGAGATGAAGTAGAGATTCTTTGAAGCACTGCATCTCTATCTTCTTTGAGAAGATGGAACTCCCGTTCCAAGCTATTATATTTTCCATCGGAAACTTTACGAAGCTGATTGCTAACTTGTAACTCTTTTTCCATGTCGTCGTACTTTTCTTTGATTATTTTGACTTCATTTTCCAGTGAGTGCTTCCAACAAGCAATTTGTCCTCCCAGCGTGCCCTTCACATTAAAAAGACTGATTTTTTAGAATAATGAAGAGACTTTCAAAAATTTAACTCTATATGAAAGGTGAAGCTATGCACTCAGTGCTAAGAAATTTGTGCAGCTAAAAAATTCGCAATGTCAAATGATTGTAATGTGAGGCTCTGCCTTTTGATCACGGAGATAAATCGCTAATAGATCAAATTTTCCATAACAATTAACAAGAAGCATATTGGAAACCATAAACTCACGAAAACTTCATTTCACAAATTCGGCAATGTATAACATTGCAACTGTTTACTATACAAGATCCAGTTATCTAGCAACATATATCGTACAGGTAAAATCGGTAAGATAACAATTTCAAATGCAGTAAAGTTAAGAGGTGAACTGAATTCCAGAAAATGCAATTATGTACAGTTGTTGGTGCATAGAGAACACAATACGAGAACTCTATTCAACTATTTTACTCGCACCTAATGAAATTCTTCTTTTACATGCATTCAGTTCAACTTAAAGCTAACATTATAGACATGTTATCTGTTCATTTTAAGTTAATTGCCTCACTTATAGCAACATCTGACATGTACCTTATTTTTCTTCTAAGTTATCAGCACATCATCATTGCACACAGCTATGTAATTAACAACTTATAGTTTCGAGAGACGACTAAGGAGCTTCTAGAAGCAGTCTATTATTCGGCTCAACAACTATATAAACTGTGAAAAGACCAACCCCCACCCCCCTCCAGTCCTCCCCCCGAATTAACTTTTTGCAAATACGTGTCGTGGACACTTTTATCACCTATTTTAGTGCACTCAAAACTCATTCTAGTTGGTTTTTGCAAATATTAAGGAATATGCAGATCAGTGGTTTTCTATCAACTTCAAAGACGTTGAAAACTGTTTAAGTCCATGGACTAAACGATTCAACGGAGTTTGACCTGACTAGCCAATAGTACTAGAAAATTCTGAACAGTCCGCAAAAATTTACGAAGGAATCGAAGTGTGAAAACAGATATTAACCATCATAAAAGAAGGCAGGAAAAACCTGAGATTATGAGCTTCAAGTAGGAGAAATAGAATCCAATTGTCAGGATGGAGAAAAATAACAAATTTTGCATGTGAGGTCTTGATATATATGACCAGGCAGCTACCTTAAAATTGCTGCTTTGAACAGAATTATCCGTATTATCATCCTTTATAGCTGATGATGCATCCGATAACACCAAGGAAGAGATTGCACCACTCAGCTTCTGATGGAGCATTTTACATTGGTCTCGAATAGAGTAATCAATTATCGGGGAAGTTCTCTTTCCATCCAAAGCCATTGTTAAATGAGATTCTAAACTTGAGAAGAGGCAGTTTCCAAGTTCACTTGTAGCAGAGAGTATTTGAGCTGCAGCAGATTTTTCATCGGCTACAAAATTCTGTTAAAAGAAAAGGATTACAGAGATATTATTACTGTTAAAGAGAAATTATCTCTACAGTCGAATTGATGATAATCAAAAAAATATGGAAGGGGCACCTCTAAAACAGAGAAAACGTCCTTGTAAATGTCCTTGCAATTCGTAACGGTTTCGTGCAGATTTCGGGGAAATTCTTGAAATAGCTGTATCTCTTCTTGGAGTTCGGATATCTCTACTGCTAACTGGTTAGTGAACGACACTTGTTCGGCATACTTCCTCTAAAACAACATGCATTGAAGTTTTTTTAAACATAAAATGATGAATATTAGAGTCATGTAATCAACTTTGCGAATAAAGTTAGGCTGAGCACATCACATTAATTATGAAATATTAGCCAAGCAACTAACCTTGAATTCATCTCTTTCCTCAGTTACAAGTTTTAGCTGTCTCTGGAGGTTCTGTATCTCTTGGCTGTGATTCTCCGTTGAGCAGTCCTGTAATGCTATACCAAGTTCAGCTCATGTGGCATATTCCAAAATGTATAAACTACCGTTCAAAATAAACGTAAGTTGTTAGATTTAGGGAGCATTTACAAGAGTTCTGCTCTTGGAGACGTAATTTATAGCACTAGAAGTGAAAATCAGATAGTGGTAGTGTTTGCAAGGTGGTGCTTAGAAATCGAATAAGTTACCGAGTTACTTGTGTATGTGTATGCACAAATGTAAATATAATATGTATGTACGTACATATATGGTATTTATTATATACTCAGACAAATATACAGTATAACTATATTTATGTATTCACAAATATATAAACACAGAACTACTTTTTCAAGCCCTGGAAACGAACTCTCCTTAGAACACACTCGATTCTATTTATGAAAAACGGACTCTTAAATAATATTTTCACTCAGCACCATTCTCGAATTTTCAGAAAATCTACAAGAATGAGCAAGTGGGATTTCTTCGAAATAGAAACTGAAGGTGCCTAAATCGGAGCATTTTGTAGCGTTGCATTGTGAGTAAAACAGCCTCTATGCTCATCAAAATAGAGCAGAATCCTTAATTTCGCAATTAGGTAACAAAAGATAAGAATACAAAAATAAATTTCATGGTAAAAATCTAGACAAGAAACTAATGTGAACATGTACATTACCTCACTAATGGGAAACGATTGGACTTTCCTTGAAGGAGTCATATGAAGTGAATCAAGGTCAGCTATGAAACCTTTGTTCATTTTCATCCATGCATCCTCATCAGCAAAATCACCAAACATATCTGGAAGTGGGCTGCATGATGGTTGTGCTATGTATTGTGACCGCCTCGCAACAAATACATTCGGAGCTGCTTTAAAACACGGGGTACTAAAAGCATCTTCTCTGCACGTGTTGTTACTGTTGGCATTCGCACTTCCATCCAGAAGGGCTTCTCTGACATTATCCTACCAAATTGAGCACAGTAGAACAAAAATTTCCAAATTCAGAAAAGAAAATATATATCTAAAAAATGAATATGAGGACACCGTGAAGTATACATGTGACGAGCTTCTTTCAGAGTCTGACAAAGGGACCAGATTGCTAAGGTTGTCAATTTTCATTTGCTGCTCCTTAATGCACTGTTCACGCTCTTTTTGTGATCTCCTCTCCTCTTCTAGTTCCGTGGCCAGCTTCTCACGCTCCAGTTCGTACTGATGATAAGATTAAAAAAATCATATAGCTGTAGAAGACATCAAAATATGTATTAATCTGATAAGAAACACCAAAAAAAGTTACCTTCAGCATGTCATTCCTCAGTTTCAAGATTTCTTGCTCCAACACTTCCGCATGAGAACCCTGCCGAAAAAATTATACCGTGTTAATTTAGCTCTTAGTCTAATTCCCTGATACAAAACATCATTATACCTGAAGTTTCCTCCGTAGGTCCTCTATTTCTTGTTTTTGTCTCTTCAATAAGGCACCATCAGTCAATATCTGAAAAATATAGAAGGATCTCTACTATCAGTTCAAATTTGAAAATTCCAAAACTGGTCAATGCAAAATCATTTTTATAGCGTTTTGCTGGATTAATACAAGCACGTATTTTTCATTGTTTACATGCCACACCTCAATTAAGGAAGAAATAACATACAAAACAGTAGAGATTCAAGAACTTTGTTGAACAAATATAACAGACCTCATTCACTTGGACGCAGTTGGTAATCCTCTTTGCTCTGCTAGCAAACTGGAGTGTCCCTTTTGTTTCCTCTATGTGAATCTATACATACCAATATGATGTCCTACATCAAATACGATCTTTAAGTGATTTAACTGTGATATCAAATAAGTAGCAGTTTAGTACCTCCTCTGGTGCCACTGTGCAAATTATTGAAGTTTTCGCATTTCCACCGAGTGCAGGTTGAAGAATGCGAGTGAGCTTACTGTCACGATAAGGAATGTGACCCCTGCAAATGGAACTTATGAGTAAGTAAACACGAAATCACTATTTTAATATGACATCTGCAGTTACCTTTGCTTTCCACCCTCACTCAGTTTGTTGATGACATTGCCAAGAATCATTAAGCTCTTGTTAATGTGCTTTCCTTCCTTCAAACGAACTCCCCCAGCTCCAGTTTTAGCTACTCTTTCAGACCCAGCTAAGTCAACTAAATTCTAGAAAATAAACAAGCAGTAGAAGTAAATTAAAAGGATACAGTACAATTTTATTTGGTAAGAAAGAGGACATGAAAATACACTAAATCTGGGTTCAGTTCCCTGGAAAATAAATATCTGAGTTTACTAAAGTAATTTTCGAATTCAAAATACGACAGTTGAATGTCGGCGAATAAAAATTGTTAAATTTTCAAGTTTCTGAGGAAGTTAAGGTTTGAGAAAGCTCAAGAGAAACATAATATTGTCCTTTGTTTGCCGTTTTCAATTTTCTGAAATCAAAACAGTAAGTTGAAGTTCAGATTTAAGAATATAAGGAAACCAATAAATTGACGTTGGAACAATTTTAAGGGATGACTACAAACCAGGACAGAGACACGAATAGCATCATCCGGACTTGAAATATAATTGGATTTGTTATCCTTTGCTTTGCTTTCGATTACCTGGCTCATGACAAATAATTGCAATAAATGAGATACATAGGATGTAAATTAATTAACTCAAAGGAATTATTAGTAATCGCAACTGCTAAACAAAGCTCCTCTTTAAAAAAAAGAACATACCATCCTAAATATAGTGTGTGATCTACTACTACGAGCATTCATGTTCGTCTCCCCAAAATGCCTATTAGCTGCACGAATGAAAAGTCGATATAAGTATTTCATATCATAATACTAAAGCACATGCTGCTTTTAAATGCATTTTGATCCTAGACCAAACCTTCTCCAAGTTGAATAAGATTAAGCACTTGGTCAGCACTGTTAACGATTTCCTCCCTCAGCCCTGCAACAAATACTCCGCGCTAAAAGGCAACACATATATCAATACCTTCACACACTTTAGAAGAAATTTTCCATGCTATAGACGATTAACCACAACCTACCTCCAAGCTCTCGTGAATTTGAAGTTTTTGATTCTCCACAGAAAAAAGATCATTAATGTCTTCATTGTAAATTTCCATGTAGGAAACGCGAATTAGAAACTCCCTATCTGATATCTAAAATACAAAAGCATAGAAATTCTGTGAGATACTATTACACATCATAGGACTTAATACGAAACTTTTTTGAAATGTTTTGTTGTTACCTTCTGAATATTAGCGAAAATGTCTTTGACAGCTCTATGGATAACTCCTGGATCAGTTTCCGATCCATTCATGGTAAAAGTTTTCCCGCTACTAGTCTGCCCATATGCAAATGCAGTTCCTGCGTTGTGATTAACTTCTATTAGTAAGAAAAGTTTCAAACCTATCTAATAAGAAATGCTCAATATCGATGTTTTATAAATTATAAGCTCCATCGAGTATATCAAATAATTATCGGAACAAATCAAAAGAGAAGAACAGAAGCAAGAAGCCACGTAAACAATCACTGTTGTGACAGTATAGATGACAAAATCATCCTATAAGTGAAAGGAGAAATTTCTAATACCACAAGGAAACCACCCTAATCTTCCGTTACATTTTACGTGAAAATTGAAGTCGTTTGTATTACCCATCATATTGCTTTAGGGGCCATTCTTAGCTATCACTGTGATTACCATTATCAGGTCCAAAAATCGAGGAATTCTTCAGAAGATAAAATTGTTTAAAATTCCTTTACCGTTTGGCTTCGACATAAATTCCTTGTTCAAGTAAAATAGCTAACATTTGTTCTTCATTGGTGAAATCATATTTCTTTAGCATTTTGTAATTCTCAGATCGAAGCCCTATTCAGAAGAATCGAAGAAACACAAAATCAAAAGAAAAAAAAATTAAAAACTGAATCCCACCATTAAATCCCTGTACTGCAGCATGTATAATGTCCTTTGTCAGAAGCTCATAAACCCTAGCATTAGTGGATTCCTGATCAAAAACATGATCTGCACACACAAAAAAAAAAGTTCAAATTTTCAAATCGATAATCCCCCAAGTAAAATTGAACTCATAAACAAACGTAATTGCGATATAGCTCACCGAAAGCAAAGGAAACTCCAGAAATGGGGGTGCCGTGAGATCTGTGGAGAGAAATACGGTTGCTTTCGACTTTCCATTGAAAGCCATTATCAGATTCTTCGTTCGCAGATGGCCTCACCCTCACTGCTACGCAGATCTTCTCCATTTTTGCGCTGCGCTGCAAAAAAAAAAAAACTCTGAATTCTTACTCGGAAATCCTTCTTCTTCTTGTTGTTTTTTGTTTTGTTGTCCGATTTGAAAAAAAAGAATGGGGGTAGGGCCTGGGCAACGGGCGGCATTTCTATATATTGTGGGGTGTGATTTAAATTTGAAAATAGACGAGTTTACGAAACTGCCCTTTTAAGTGGGTCTCTGAATCTGGGTCGGCCTTTATGTGAGGGCATCTCCGACCGGACACCATAACGCCATTTTTTCATCTAATTTAGGTGTTTTTAGTCTTCCACCCGAAATTCCTATATCACCATTACACCTAAAATTATATAGATTTGGTTTTAGCCTCCCACCGTGGTCAACCCCATATTACCAAATACTCAAATCCTATTTTTCCACCAAATTTTTTGGTGAAGGAATTTTCATCTCCCACCGGTCCACCATTTTCCTATTTTTTTCCACCAAATCCTATTTTTCCTACCAAATATAGAGGTGAAAATATGATTTGGCGTAATTAACACCATTTTATTAAGTACCATATAAAATGACGATTTTAACTAATTGCACCCGATTACCAACTTATTAGCATATTTATCGTAAATAAATTAATATTAATTATTAAATTAGTTTTTTAAATATAAATACATTTGTTATTATTAACAAAACATTAATTTTAATAACATAAATATGCTTTTTTTTATTAATTTGGTATCAATGTTTATTAAGTTCATTTATTTACTTAACTAATACGCTAATTGCTATTAATAAAATATAATAAGCAACAATAGTATCATTAACGAAACACACTTCAATTGATGAAATACAGGACGAGACATTTAAATTGAAATACATAGCTCATAAAATAACAAACAACATAACATGATAACAAAACATGATAAATAATAACACAAATTATATAAATTTAAATCATCATGAACTGCTTATTTAAATTCTCATGTCGTACTAATATATGATTTATGCAATAATTTATGAGATTATTGTTTATATATGATTTTATTATATTTAAAATAATTTGAGTGAAAGACTTTTATTTATTTTATGCGGAAAACCTTAATCACAGAATCTTGAAATCAAATTCATCTTAAGAACATAATCACATAATAGGGATTATCGACATACCGTTCGTCATGGATTCCGATAGAGACGATGAACAAGGATGATAGCAATCTACAAGCCGAGCCTAGCCAGGCCTCCCTCGAATCTCCTTGAGAACTTTATTCGAAGCACACCTTCTTCTCTCTATCTCTCAAATATCACAATATATTGAGAG